TTAGGTATGGACAATAATTTATATCTTGTCTACTTCGATCTACGTAGTTTCTAGTCTGCAATTAAACGTGCTTGACCTTGAGTGCCAAGATTAAATGATCTGAACATGAAAATCACAAACTTTATCAAGTATGACAACGCAATATTTTCCAATAGGAATGACTCAAGAATTATCCTAAATTATTTCCATAGACCCTTGCCATCTCGCTTATTTGTAATGAGGCATTACATTATCTAATATATAATCCATTATAGCAACTCTACTCGATAACCAAATGAAATTCTTTCACATCTAGAGAGATCGCATTAAATAAGGTTTCATAAAAATAATAATCTGTTTGATATCTAACACACTGAATTCGAGAAATACCACTTCAATCAAAGTCAACCTTAAAATGAAGGTCATTTTTGTGCACAGCTTAGAATGTTCGTATTGTTGTTACTATAATGAAGCAAGCAGCGCACGAAACCACAAAAGCTCCCGTAATTCCAGTGAAGAGGACAGAAGCAGAACTGCACGAGCACACAATCTGGGATTTTCCATATGATATCTTGCCCAATGCTTTAACGTTAACAAAAGCACAATTTGCAGGAAAGTCCATGGGAAAACAACAACCAGAACAGCTTGTGGAGGCCGTAAACCGAGTATATCGAAAAAGGAGGACGACCTGATTCGTATTACCCTGGAAAAACATTGCACAAAATCGTTGTCGTCTATCCAACGAGAAGATCTTCCCCACCATTCATGTTCCCTTCTGCAAAGAAGAATGAAAACATTAAAAATGTGTCAGGTTTCAGCTGACATCAAGCCAGTGTGACGACCTTGGCAACTTGCCATTCCGTTTCAGTGTGAGTCGTGTTCATGTCTCACTGGACCTTTTGGTTCATGGTGTCTGCATTTTCCTCTCTTCCAGATTGTCAGTTCACCCTCTCCACGGAGAATCTCCTGTCTGTCGACGGTTCCAGTCCACACCTAGACTATGGCCCAGTTGCGGTTGTCTGGTGTATTAGTTCACGGGGGACATCTTGCCGCACACCCGAGCCAAGCATGTTACAGCATCTTACCAGCATTGAACGCGTAGCAAACGCAGGCGTGTATTGATTTTGCCCGAGAATTTAAATCTCGTCGTGCGTCATTTTAGCGATCGGTTTATTTCGCCAACGAGTGCATGGTGTGCGACGAGCTTTGGAAGGCTTACAAAAAAGTCATTTGCGGTGAAAACTTCCCAAAAGAACTTATTCCACCGAATGAAAGAGTTCCTCACCCGTCATGATTATTCATTTGGGTAGGGATAAAACATGGTCAGTCTTGCCGGTGGACATCAGTCAAAGGTACCATGAATAGTGAGAAATTTGCATCAGTAATTTCGAAAATGTTTCCAGAATTTCATGAAAAAATTGTCTGGAAAAGTTATCTTTATCAGGATATCGCTCCGTGTCATGTTTCACGAGAGGTTAGTAAATTTATTAATTTAAGCAGTCTCTCTTATTATTTGCTTTCAGACTTCAGAAACGATGCGTGACTCTAAGATCCTGTTCATAGAACTTCCCCCTTAAGGGCCCGGATCTCAATGTGATTGAAAATCTGTTTTGGAAAGAGAAGTCAATGTGCTACCTATACATTGGACATTGGAGGAAAAGTGTGACACGTAATGGAGCACACAATAGAAAATGACTCCATAACAAAGTTGGTGGATTCCGTGTCGAACAGACTTGAAAAAGTGCTAAAGAACAAAGGCAGGCCAATCGACTATTAGTGTACACAAACCTTACACCTTGCTTATTATGAATGTTATTTTGTTGTAAATAAAAACTCTTCCGTTCTATTTAGTTACCTCTGAACTCATCATGGTCTAGGTCGACCATTAGTGACGAAATGGGAGTATCCGCTACATTCTGAACCATTCCATCTGCTGGGTATGAACGAATCAGGTAAATCACGTCTACATAGACTCACCAAGGCTTGTTTATTATTATTTGGAAAAAAATTAACTATTGTACAAATTCCGTTGCCTACACGAACCCACAAGTGTTTCATAGGGACCCGTTGCTTCAGTTTCGATTAGATCTATATATATATGTTCCTTCGGACCCGATTTGTGTGGATGAAAAGTTTGAGGAAGGAGAAGACAAGACAGACAAACAATTTGGACAGACAAACTTGGTCAGACCGAATGCCATCGTTTGAAGTCAAGCAGGACAGAGATAACCGATAGAGAGACTCGGCTAGAGAATTCTCAAATGGAATAGGGAAACTAGTATATGATTGATTTGAGCGAAAATTTCAGCCCACCGAAACTCCTCACCTGCTGTTCCTCAGGATTATCCGAAAATTTAAACACAATCTTCCCGAAAACACAATGCTCACCAGCTGGACACGAGAATAATTACTCGGAAGAATAACAAGTTTCGGATAGAGTGAAACAGATAAAAAGAAAACTGTTCTTCTCGTTTTTTCCAAATTGACTACATGATCCCTCTCCCCCGCCTCCCTTTTACACTGCGTTATATCCCACCCTCAATTTTTTTTGTTATTCTTGTGTTGCGTTGATGAAAACACACAGAGCTCATATTTTACTTGTGTAGTAGTAGTAATAATACGTGAACAATGACAACCACTCATGTATGGTGTGTCACAAAGACGGTCAGGTGTCAGGAGCGAAATAGTCTGCATTGGGGAGGGGAGATAACGAACTCACGTAGCCGACAAATTATTGGTTGACACAAACAAATATTTATAAGTATGTGATCAAGTGAAAAGTATCAATGTCCAGAGCCATATACAAGTGGAGTCGTAAGAACCAGGCCAGGGAGCAGGGAGGAGGACGTGACCAGACGCGGGCACAGCCGCACACAGGAGCGGAGAAAAAAAAACAGAGGGGCAAGGGGAAGGGTTGAAAACTATCTGAAGTCTTCTGTTACAGAGAATGCGGGGAATATGCTTTTGTAGGTAGTAGGCGAGGTGTGGTAGTGACTGGGCAGACAGAGGTCGGCGGGGGGGGGGGGCAGGGCCGAGCCGAAG